TGAAATCTCAAACAAATGTGCAAATGTGTTCAGTGTGTCAATGAATTGCTGTGTCTCTGCAAGGTATCTGCAGCTTTTGTCTGTCCTGGCAGGCAGGTCAGTGCTTCCCACACAATTCTGTAACCTGCCTCTGTGTGCAGATAATTAAAAAAAACAAAAGTCCAAACCTTAGTGTTTCTCTTCTTCCTCATAGTGCTGCTCTTTCCCAAATAGCTGCAGTGCTGTGTTCTGGCTTTGGTCTTTTTTTTTTTTTCCCTGCAGTAAAAATTTCACCTTTTTTCTCCCCTCTTAGCTCTTGGCTACTAAGAAATCTGCTAAAGCATTTCCTCATCATTTTGCAGAATGACAATTGCTTGGTGTCTAGGAGAATTTTAAAATCTGAATTTGGGATCACAGGCATGGAAATGGATGTGGCTTTGACTGCACCTGCTAAGCAGAGAGCTTAGATACCTTTGTGTAGGTTTTTCACCCCCCCACTCCTCTCTTTCTTCAGAGAACTAAAATTTAATTACAGAGCTTGGAAAACTCTTCACATCATGTAGAGAGTGAGCTAAATAAAACAATGAGAGGGAAATGAGAGCAAGGCAGGAACAAGAATTGTAAAAAAAAAACACCTTATACTTGAGATTTCTGTACTACTCAGAGGTTTCATTCAGCTCCTTAAATGGGAGGGGATGTGTGGGGGTTGATGGGTGTGAATTCTTATTTTCTGCAAGGAGGAAAAGAAAGAAAAGGTGGCTTTCAGTATAATTCATAGGGCTAATGGGTAGATCTACCTGGTTATTAAATCCTAAAGCCTTGGCTGAGCTGAGTAATGAATGCCATTTTACTGCTGCTCAGATGCCCCCTTTGCTCATCACTGCAGAACCACAAGTCAGGTCCTAGCAGAGGTTGTTTGGAATTCAACCTTGGTGATAAATGCTGGGTTGAGATAGTGTTCTGTTAAAGTAGAGCTGCTTTAAAAAAAGAATTACTGCTATTATGATTACTAGCACAGAAGGAGGAAGGGCAGGAGCAATTGATCTGTGATCTTTTTCTGGCTCCATTGGAATTTTACAGGATTGTGGATCTAAAGGATGTGAAGGCAGATCTGAAAGTTCATCTCAGTGTCTGCTGGTTGTAGTCACAGTGAGGAGACAGATGTGTTAAAATGCACATTTTCCTACAGGGACTGGCCAAACGCTGCAGGGTGTGAAGTACCAGTGGTGGGTATGTTAAGGGTAATAAATGAGCTAAATCTGCTTTGGGTTTGGTTTTTTTTTTTAGTAAATATTTTTAAAGTTTATTTTTGGGTAATCCTTATACATAATTTGTTTTTAAATAAATAAAGAAGATTCCCGAGGGAAAGTTTCCATCAGAACTTTTCCAGACTTCTCTGGTAGCCGTCACTGAAATATTGTGTTTGCTTTGGATAACTGAGCAAATTACAAATTAAAAGCTTAATAAAAGACAAGCAGTTAATAAGCATAACTTGGTGCAGTATAAACAGTTGAAAAAATGAAGTCTCCTCTCCCAGAGCTGCAAAATCAGGTCAAATGTCAGTTTTTGAAACAGTGCCTGGTTCTTGAGCGTGTGTTTCTACGTGCTGTTTGAAAGGGTTGAATGGAATTCTCTTCTGGGGTTGAGGCTCTACAGATCCTCTCCAAGTGCTCTTAAATACAACCACAGAACCCCAGACTGGTTTGGGTTGGAAGGGACCCTAAAGCCCATCTCATCCCATCCCACTCCACCCCTGCCATGGGCAGGGACACCTTCCACTAGCCCAGCCTGCTCCAAGCCCCATCCAGCCTGACTTGGAACACTTCCAGGGGCAGCCACAGCTTCTCTGGGCACCCTGTGCCAGGGCTTAACCACCCTGACAGGGAAGAATTTCTTCTAATACTCAATTTAAACCTATTTTTTGTCAGTTTGAAGCCATTCTTTCCTTTCCTTCCCTGTCACTCCAGGCCCTTGTACACAGCCTCTCTGGTCACTTTCCCAGTGTGGATTTACAGCAGATGTAATTTGTAGTAGTTTGACCACATCTGGTGGCCAATCTGTGAAGGTTTGGCTCTTGCTGCATCTCTCTTCAAAACAACAAAGCCAAAAGCCCCATACATTTTGACCAACCTTAAGAAATCCCCTGAGTTCTTGTGTCCAGTTTGGCTTTGGAGCTGTTTTAGCCTGAAGACAGCATCAGAAACAGTTGCCTGGAGTCCATGAAGGGTTTATAAAATGACTTGGAGAAATCTGAATGATGCTGTCTTTTCAGATATTTGAAGGCTCTCCTTCCATTGTTGCAGGATGCCATTTTTGGAAAATTCATCTTCCATCTTTGGCACTCGGGCTCCTTGCTCTGTGAGGGGCTGGTGGTGCCAGGGCTTCCTTTTTGCAGCTCTGCTTCTCTTCTCTGCAGGAAGTTTTCACTGAAAGGAAACCTTCTCTTTATCCCTTTAAAATCATTGTCCCCTGCCCTTTTTATTTTATGTGTGTTTATTCCTGTAAAGGTTATTTATTAAACCTCTTAGTACAAACAAAACATCTTTGTTTAAATACAGAGGGCACTTTCTGTGGGACATGTTAAGTCCTTGAGGGGATGTTAGGAATCTTCTTTCCCTTCTCATTTCTAGCAGCATTTTGCCTGTTTTTAATGCAGGGTACGTCCTGCTCTGCTGATTTTTTTTTTTTTTTTGCTTCTGATTATTCAGTGTTGCACATAAGCAGCTGTGCCCAGAGAGAAGTGCCCCCCATGAGTCAGGAGGTGCTGAGCCATATGGCAGGTGAGGATGGAATATTGCAGCTCTGGGCTGAGCCCCTCCTGTTCACACACAGTGAGCACACTATGAATGCACCCTGCCAACACCATCAGCTCCTTCAGCCCGGGCTGCTGAGTGACCGTGTGTCTTTCTGGAGCCTTCTGCCTTCCTTACTGAGCTCTTGCTTCTCCTCAGGCTCTGCTGAGAGCCCATTTTCCTGTTTAATAACTCATAAAGGGACAGAGGGAAAAGCCAAGGGTGCTCTGAGCTGTCTGCACTGCCCTGCTCTTGGATATTGTACAGCTATGTGTGTGTCCAGTGGAGTTTCCCAGCCCTGTGCTCAGTTCCTTGTAGTGATCCATCTTTTGGAGAAACACAGGAGTGGGAAACTCTTGGATTATGCCCTTTCTGACCCAGAGATGGGGCAACTGAGAGGCATTTTAAAAACTTTTATTCCGTTTTCAGTCTCATGAGAAGGGTGAGACAATACAGATGTTATAATTCATGTTATCACAATCAGAAGCTATTTTTTGATTGCAACACATTATAAGTGTTTCTTGGCCTATCAGTTTTTGACACACCACGCTGTAAATGCCTTAAAGCCAGTAATCAAAAATTACCCCTCGTGGGTCCCACTGCAATGCATCTTTCACAATTCTATTTTTCCAAAGTATCCAGTCTTATTTGCAAGGCCACCCTTTGAAGCTTGTTTCTAGTTCCATTTCTCTCTCAACAATGTCTGTCCTATTCCATGGCATTTCTAAGTCAGCATTCCTTATCTCAAGGTTTACATACAGAGTGTGAGCCTTCTGTCAGGTTTGAGAATTCTCTACAGATCCATTTCCCACAGGAAACAATGTGCAAGAAGCCCTCGGTGAATTCAGTTTCCACCACAGCGAACATAACCTGCATCTCTGGTTGAAATTGCCTGGGTTTGGGAATTTTATTGCAGCTGCAGATGGCATTAGCTTTTAAAATACAGCATTTTTTTAACATACAGTTGGATGAGTATGGAAATGGGTGTGCTTGCAGCAGAGTGAGAAAGTCACTGCACACACTGTTGCCATTGGTAGGTGCCATGTTGGACCAAAACAGCTGCTCTTTCAGCCCAGAAGAGCAGGCAGCCTGTTCCTAAGGAGGAGTGGGATTTCTGCAGCCCTGTTTGTAATGGGACATTTCTGCCTTAAACTGCATTTTAAACTCCACTGAGATTCTGAGCACTTTGCATCTGTGATGCACCTGATCAGCTGAAAGGGGAAATCACAGAGTTTCTCGTGGATCATAGGTTTTCTTTGATCCTTTTGGATTTTAACCATGGGATAACCTTTATCCTTTTACTGGTGGAAAAACTCAGCAGCAGAAAACCAAATCATCACAAGGGGAACTGATCTTAAGTGTTTGAAGTGTGGTATGGGAGCCAGGGAAATACTGATGTGTTTGAAGCTTGACTCAGGCAAAAAGGTCCTGCTGTGCCGAGATGTCCAGCTGTCTGTGCCAAAACACTTGGGGATGTGTTTGAAAGGCATCATGTCATGTATTGGCAAACCTGGAGCTGACAAGTGACATTGTTTGAAGCAGGACTGTGCCTTGCTGTGATCCCACAGGTCGTGGCAATGGGATTTTGTGCCCTTCAGTAAAGCAGAGCCTTGGCAGAGGATTTCAGTGCTTCCACAGCCTCTGCTCCCCAGGCAGCTCCAGTGTACAGGACAGTGTTCAAAACCTCCTCATCTACTGCATGCATTGTTTTTTTAGTTGTTTTCTTTTTTAACAGATGTGAGTACATACATTTCCCAGATTTTCCTGCTTTATATTCCAGCAGCAGACAAAAATGGGAGCAGGAAATCCAGCAGAATGCACTCTGGAGCACAGGCCCCTCGGTGTGTTTGTGTGAACATATTTAATTCCAGCCTGTGAGAATAGCGTGCCAGGAATGTGGTGTCTGCCTGGCATCCTGATCACACCATGTCAGAATTTCTCTTGCTCAGCATCTCTGTGCTTTATAAGCACAAACCACCACAGCTCTGTGGTTTTCCCTGAGTGCAGAGGTTATGGAATAGCAGGCAGTCTTGTGTACACCCAACTTGGTAGCTGGTGATGGCAGGGAGACTTCTCCCACTTCATTCCCCAGTGGAGATTGCTGTGGAGCACTTGTAAGGATTCAGGGCTCTTGGGGACAGCTGTGGGCAGCTTCACCCTGCCAGTGCCACATTGCCCTGTGAGCCCATCCCTGCTGTGCCTGGGTAACAGTGCTGTGCTTCCCCGCAGGAGGACTTTCGGAATAAAGTGGAAGATTACATTAAGCGCTATGCGAGATGATGAAGGGAGATGGATGGCAGGACCACGGCTCCAGAGCTGTCCTGAGCCTCAACAGCAGCCAAAGCAGCCTGGGTTGTACCAGTCCTGTGTCCATGTTGTACTGAAGAAGAAAACTAACTTCATAACCTGTCCATGTTAAAGGAGAGTTCAGCAAGAAATTGTTGTCTGTTGGTTGAAAAAGTTGTCTGCTTCCTTTTACAAATGTTTACTCTTCTGAACTGTACTGTATATCCTGTTGATGAGATATGCTTGAGAAGTTAAAAGAAGTCACTATTGAAATTGTAATTACACCTTTTTTTTTAACTCTTGCCTGATGTCGAGGGGGGGGAAGGAAAAAAAGGAAAAAAGCAAACCCAAACAACCCAAGCAGAAAAGGTGGTGTGTTTTTGGAACACTTCGAGTTGGCAATAAATGGTCTCCTGTGAACCAAATCACAAAACTGTTGCCTTTGATGAGCAGAAAAAACAATATGAGCTTTTCTGAGAGTCACTCAGCTGAGGCATAGAGCTTGCCAGAGTGGAAATGCAAAATGAGATTCTGCTTCTGGTATTGAAGTTCTCGATGCTGTTTTATGTAAGTACGTTTTTGTCACAGTTTGGAATTTTTACATTGTTAATTTCAGGCCCTCTTTGGGCTACAGGTTTATTGGTTTTTTGTTTCTATTCATTGTGTGAAGTAGTTAAAAGAAATACAGGCTAACATGTAACTTAAGTACTTTTAGTATTAGTAAAAATTATATATATAGATATATATTATATAATCTATTTCTGTGAAAAAATTAATGGAAGGGAGATTTTTTAAAGAAATCTGCCTTTGGCTTTCCAGTCTGATGAGGGGAGGGAGCATCAGATGCTCTTTGATCTGATGAAGGTAAATTTAGGCACTGTCACCTGGAGAGCACCTAATTGTGTTCTCAGGATTCCTGCACTGAAAGGGAATGACACAGCTGGAGCCACAACACATTCCCCCCACTCGTGCACACTTTGGCTTGTTTTGGGAGGATGTGATGCTGCAGGTGCCTTTTCTGCAAGGAGCTGCATGGCACGGAGAGCCTGCAGAGGAGAGGCTTCACTCAGAGCTCCCTGGGCATCCTCCAGGATTGGGATCACACAGAGGAGCTGATGGAGCCCAGCTGAGCTTTTACAAACTAGGAAATAAATATTTGTGTGATTTCATGCAGAGCAAGTGTGTGTGTGACACTTGGGCATTGACTGTTGGGGGTTTATTCCCCCTTCATTCTTCCCTGCTGTTCCTATGCTGGAGGAAATTAAAACAATCTCCCTCAAGAGCACGGCAGAGCTGGGGTGCAAATGTAAGCATGAAACTTTTGTGTTGAGTTTTCCCTGTGCCTTTTCCTTTGCAGCTTCACCAGCTCCTGTAGCTGTTGCTGGAGGCCTGGGAAAGCAGGGAGTGAAATGCAGGGGTTGGCATGCAGGAGGAGAGCTTCACCTGCAGACACCATTCACAGGGAAACATGGAGCAGCCCAGTATTTTAAGCAGGCACCTGCAGTGGGAGATCTTTGCTGCCAGAACAGCTATGTCAGCAAAGGTAGGGGGTAAAACACTCACAGAAAGAGCAAGGTTGGGAATACGTCTGGATTTTGCTCATGGCATTAGAAGGATTCTCTTATTCTTGAGTCAAAAACTCAACCAGGTTGCTGTAACAAAAGTAGTTCTTGCTGTAGAGGCACCCTGGTGCTGTTAACACACGTTCCATCCTTCAGGAGGAGGGGTCACAGTCCCCCTTTCTTGGGCTGTCCCCATGGATGGCTCCCCACTCAGGCTGGGAACTGCTGCTGCTGTGCCCAGGGCAGAGCAGAGCCAGGGAAAGCTGATCTGATACCAGCAGCTCTGTGAGCACAGAGCTGCAGCCATCAAAGCCATCCCTGCCTCCCAGAACAATCCTGCCTCACCCCTTCCTGTATTGTTGCTTGCCTGGAGGAGATGAGCAGAATAATAAAGTTTGGATACTGTTCAATACTGTACAAGAGGGTCTGAGCATTGGTTTGTGCTCATCCAAGGGGAGGGGGGGATCCTAGATCTCATCACTCACAGTCCAGGAAAATAAAGTGAATTTTTCCTGAAGGTGAGGAGATTGGGAAGGGGGGGGGGGGTATGTATTGATATAAATATATATTTGTTTATATGTATTTTTATGTGTGTTTGTATAGGTGTAACTAACCTATGCTTCTGCCAGAATCAGACTGGTTTGGGTTAGAGGGGGTCTGGGCTGGGTGGGCCAGGCACAGGGCTGGGTATCCCAGTAGGTTTTGGGGTTTTTTTTGGGAAATGTGAGAGTCAGGAGTAAACAGCAGCTGGATGTCCCTCGGGAACCCCTTCCTGAGGCAGCAGGGCACTGAAGGGGTCTGGAGTGGACCAGAGCTGTCAGGGCAGGGCTGGGATTCCCCAGCCCATCCCGGTGCTGCCCAGGCTCCCTGCTCTGAGCTGAGCCGGGTCCTGGAGCCCCGGGCTGCCCACCCACACCCAGGGACCCTCCCAGTGCTCATGGGGTGGGGGCAGCACAGAATGAGGGCACTGAGGGGGAGGCTTCACCTCAGCCTTCACAGAGACGGGCACCTGTTTTATTCATGTATTTATTTATTTAGTTAGGTGGGTAAAGCACCTTATTCCCGTTCCTTGTTAGCAGCCCCAGGGCACCAGCGGTCCCACCCGATCCCACCGCCGACTTCCCCGCGTTGTCCCCCACCTCCCAGGCAAAACCCAGTGCTTGTGCGGGGGGCTGGGGGAGAAGATGCCTTTCCACGTGTGGGGGGATCCCAGAACAGGACAGAGAGAGAGGAAGCCGAGGATGTTCAGGCGCACCCAGACCCGCTGGTCTCACGTGTGTTGATGCCGCGCTGGCACCGCGGGGCTGGCAGGATTTCAACTCCCCACACCCCCTGGGGTTTGTTTCCCTTTACCCCACACCCCCTGGGTTTTTTTTCCTTTACAATTCTCCTGCTCGGCACACGAGGCCGGGGAAGCGGCTGGGAGAGGCGGAGCGGAGCGCGGCCGGTGCGGGCTGAGCCCCGCGGAGTCCCCGCTGTCCGGGCAGCCCGCTCCGCCCAACAACCATGGCTAAAATGACATTTATTTGGAAACCAGCGGAGGAGGAGCGCTGGCGATGCTGTCCCTGCCTCGGGGGCTCCGTACCCTCCGTGCCGCTCCTCTGGCAGGCTCTTCCCAAACTCCAGGCTCGCCGAAGGGGAGTCCCGCCCGTCCCTCCCCTGCCCTGCGCCGCCCCTACACGATGCCCTCGCTGCGTTTGCTCCTCCACACCACGAGCGCCGTCATCAGCAGGGTGACAAGGACAGGCAGCACGATGAAGGGACACAGCACGCCGTTCGGGGGGTCGTGCAGCGCCCGGCCCGACGGGGAGCAGTTCCTGAAGTATTGCTTGTGCACGGCCACGAAGAACTCGTCCACCAGCCGGTTGGGCCAGTAGCAGTCGAGCTTCTCGGCGATCAGCGCCGTGCAGTTGGTGAGCTCCCCGTAGGTGCTGCAAAACACAGGGACACCGGCTGGCACCGCGGTGGCACCCTGGTGGCACCGGCACCAGCGCCCGGCCACGGCCATGCCACCTTCCCCCCGTGCAATGTGAAGTACTGTATCCATTATATATTGCATGTATAAAATACAAAATATATACTACATAATTTATCATGAATAGAACAGAACAGAATAGAATATCTCATATATATAATACACATCACATATATAATATATGTATTTTTTATATATCGCACATAATATATCCCTCCCTGTACAATATATTCTATGACAGAAGTGTGTACCTGAGATTGCACTGCACATGTGAGTGCTTAAGTTTTTTTCACTATTTTTTGAGTTTCCAGCTGGATATACCTAGCCCCATAAAAATATATATGACGGGTTTTTGAAAATGTATGTAACCTATAAAAATATATGGGGTTTTGAGTTCACAGCTAGAGAGGTAAAAAGGTAACAGGGTATTTTACATTCCCACATTTGATGGCAACTTTTAAGTGCTCACAGCCAAAAGCTGTTTTCATTTGTGGAATGACGTGGTGGTGGTGGTTTAATTTACAGAAGGAAATGAAAACAGAAATAGCATTTACAGGAATACCAAGAAGCAAGTTTGGAGGTTTTTTGTTTGGTTTGTGTTAAATTTTGCAGAATTTCCTGGCTGAACTGGTGCTATTAAAAATACAGGCTAGACCCACATTTTAAGCAGACCTTCAGGAAACCCATCCCAACGTGGCCTTCGGAGCAGCATCCTCCAGCTTGTGCGAGCTCAGTCCAAAGGGGGACAGAAATAAGTACACTGAATCTACTTTAAAATCTCCTTTAATTTGCCTAAAACTGGGGAGATAGCACAGAAACCAGTTGGGCAGGCCCACCCCTCTAGGACCAGCAAGTCCATTTTTTCTTTTTTTTTTTTTTTAATACCTGGAAAAGCAGGAGCAGCCCTGGGCCAGAGCCACTGTCCCTGTGCCAGGCCATGCAGCCATGCTCTGGAATGACAGCTGAACCCTCCCTGCTTTAAAAATGACAGCTGAACCCTCCCTGCTTTAAAACTGGCCATGCATAAAAACACAGATACAATTTCCCCCCCATCCCAATTAGTCACATCTAATCCTAGAGAAGCAAAGCAAAGCAAACCCCAGCTCTCCAATTAAAAACCTGCCTGGGGGAAAGAAATGTTTTGGAAGCAGCTTCCCAGCCCCAGCACAGCTCCTCAGCTGGGGCTTGGGGTTTTGGGGCAGGCTGTGCCCACACAGCCAGAGATTTAATTAATAGGGCCTGCAGCTGCTAAAAGCAGCTTCTGCTCAGCATCCCAATGTGCAAAATTACCATTTCCTGTTCATCAGCATCCTTAGGAGATCTCAGGAGCTGCAGCATCTTCAGGAACCAGAGGGAAAGTGTTAACAGGCGAAGAAAAGCTATTTTTAAAGCTCAAGGGCCATAGTGCAGCTGGCTTAGTCCTTCCCTGGCTCCAACTTCCACAGGGATAAATCACTGCTCCCATCACTGCATATGAAGACATGCAAGGAACCAAAGCCCAGCAGTGCCAGCCAATGAAAGGATAAACTGGCACTGCCCTTTCCAGGGAGGCAGCAGCGGATTCCAGCAGGTGAGGATGGAGCTGAGGGAGGGGCTGGGCAGCCACAGCCCCAGGAGCAGCCTGGGGGCACAGGGAGGAGGCACGGGGCTGTGACTGGGGGGAGGGCCCTGCACCTTAATGGGGGCTTAGCACACCCTAAGTCTCTTGTCCCTTCTATTTCTGCTGTTGGCATTAAAGCCCCCTGCTCCAGCTGGCATCTTCAGCAGGAGCAGAGTGGCACCACCGGCACTGACCCCACACACCCCTGAGGCCAGTGGGGAGCGAGTGGGAAGGTCCCAGAGGGAAAAGAAACTCTTGAGGAACAGGTCCCAGTGCAGACGTGACACTGAGGGCTCCTGAGCTCTTGGCCAGGGGAGAGCAAGGCTGGTGTCTCCAGGAGCTGATTTCTCACACAGAGCACACCTGACCACGGCACTTCAGCACAAAGCTGAGCTCCCAGCTGTGCCAAGTGCTCTCATTTCTTCCACTGCATCTCACAGACCCCCAAACGGCCCCGTGAGACTCCAGCATCTCCTGTCCATCCCAGATGCACCAGTCACAGGGCACTGGGACCTTCTCCTGCCACAGCAGGACACCAACAGGACCCACAGCCAGGGTTAACCACAGATCCAGGCTGCTCACGCTGCCCTGTCAGACAGGATCAGGATCCCTCTGGAGAGCAGCAGTGTTGCTGCCTGGGCCTGAGTGTGCTCTTCCCTGCCACAGCCCTGGTGGACGTGTCCCACTGCCTCTCCAAAGCAGCATCTGCTGCTCTCTCCTCACGAGCAGGGCCACGTTCCTGTGACAGCACCAGGCCAGCCTGGTCCCACCGGGAGTTCAGCCTGGGCTGGTGGTGAGATGCCTCATGGAGGGGGGGTTGTTTTCCTGCTCAGCTCTGCCCTGCTGTTGTCACCCCCAGCCCAGCCCCAGAACGCCGTGTTCCCCACACCCACCACGCTCAGCAGGGCAGAGCTGAGCCAAGCCCTGGAGGCTGCAAGGATGATCCTCAGGCACGGAGTTAAAACTCCCTGGAGAGAGGATGCTCCGCTAAGGGGGGTAAAGCAGCTTGAACTTCACCCTGTTTGTGAAAGTTCCCACGGACAGATGGAGAAGGGGGTCACGATTTGCCCACATGGGTAACATCAATCTCTACACAACAATTATTTCGCTCATTTTAACAACTTTGCTTCCAACTGGATTCAATAAACAGGGCACGATAAATAACTACCTATGCTATATAGGAAATAATTGGATGCAGCCACACCCAGACCCCACCCCAGGACATCGAGGAAGCCAGGGGGTCCTTTCTGCATCTCCTGACTCAACAGGACAGCCTCCCTAATAAACTTTGTTCCAAGATTCCATTCCGCCTGTAGCAAGCATGGAGTCAGCTTTTGGCTTTCAGACAAGCCCACAGCTCATTTGCAAGCCTCCATCTCCTCCACGAAAATATTAAGCAGCCACTCTAGCATAGCACTGGGAGGAGGGCAGGTTTTCCCAAACAATCCCACCACTGCCAGGAGACAGACACCTGGCCCTGAAAATCTTGGCTGTGCTTGGGAGTATTCTTTCCCTACCCAATGTGAACTGCAGTTACAACTGTTGTCCCTGTCTCCATGGAAATGGTTTGGCTTTAAAGGATGCTGTGGCTGGACTGCATGGGGATGAAGGGCTGCAGGCAGGATGGGCATGGGAAGCAGTCAAAGAATGATTTAGGATCTGATGGCATCTGAATGCTTATACTGCTATAAATCCTAAGGAATTCCTCTGGGGTTTTTTACCACTGCAGCCAAGACTGGAATTGGCTGTGGCATTTATTCCTTGACAGCACTTGGATGTGGATGGTGTTGCACTTGGACTGGGGTTCACAGGATTGACAGCTTTGGGTTTTCTTCACTGTGAGTATCCCGGTATTTCCTATCCTCCCTCAATTCCTTGCTTCAGAGGGTAAAAGAGAAAACACCACAAGATTTCACTTTTGCTTTGCAAATTAAAAGAAAACATTGATTTCCTCCTCTGCAAGGCTGCAGGGTGGGCCTGGAGCCAGGCTAAAGGGGGATCCAGAAGGGACCTGGCAAGCTGAAGATACATAAGTAGATAGTAAGAAAATGTATCAATCAGTTTTCTGTAAATAATGGATAAATAACCTGAAGACAGAGTGTGAGTGTGCTGACAGCTGGGAGAGCAGCTCCATCCCTGGCTGCAGCTGTCAGAGCAGCACCATGATTGCCCTGGTGAGCTCCTTCCCGCAGCACCGGGGGAAAGCATTCCATGGAGATTTTCAGGAATGCCACAGCGTGGATATATTTGGGATGAAGATGCCTGGCTGGGCTGGAGTGACACCCACAGCTGTGGCAGCACTCAGCACCCTGAGCATCCCCCTGTGCACAAACCCTCCTGCAAATCCATTCCCTGGCCTCGGCACCGCAGCCAAAACCCCGCGGGACAAATATCCCCAAGTCATCGGTGCCTGCTGACGCACTGGGGGTGGGCAGTGGCAGCCCCAGCCCTCCCCATCCCTGAAATAGCTGCCTCCAGGGAGACCACAGCTAATCCCCCTGGCCCAGCCAGCATGCCCATGGAGCTGGAGCTGGAGTCAAAATAGCCAAGCTGCTCTTTGGGATAATTCACTGGGCACAGCTGAGCTCCTGGCCAAAGCAGCTTGGCCACCAAAGATCCTGAGATGCAGCTCCAGCCTGGCCTTTGAGTCCCAGGGCGGCCAAAGTGGGCAACAGCTCACACAAGCTCCCTCAGTCCATGAGAAGAATTTGAATATCAAAATCCACCCTTTTTCCCTAAATAAGCAACGGTGAGAAAGCCAGCAGAGCTCAAGGGGGCTGGACAAACCTTCCCAGAGAGCTGGTGCTTGTCCACATGGCCCAGCCCAACCTCACCCAACACTCTTGCTCCAGAGAGAGCCCGTGGCTGCATCAGAGCAGGAGCGGTGGTGCAAGAGCTCAGCTGATGCCTCTCAGGGCGAGAGGGGAGCAGGGTAAGGAGAAACCCCCTAGGTAAGATTACACAAAGCAGTTTATGTGTTAAACTTTTTATCTTATAGGGAGAAAACTTATTTACTTTCTTTGTTTTATCAATTTCTTCTTCTGTTAACTCAGTCGTTTAACCTACACACCAACTACCAAACCCATCCACAGAGCAGCATCTGCTGCCTACAAACAGGAGCAGTGACCCACGATGACAGACTCTGCTGATTGGACAATTCATTGGTCCAGACTGAAACACGGGGTCAGAAACTAGATATATACAAAAATCACAGAAATTAGAAGGTATTGATTAGGAATAGGCACATAAATGATGGACATTGCTTAATATCTGCTGCATCCTTGGTCTCCTGAGAAAGGAAAGTACTATGTGCAAAACAGCAGGAAAGAATGCAAGGATGCTTGGTAAGGGGAAGGATTTTTATTTTTTAATCAAAGATAGCATACAGAATGCAAGGACACTGAGATAAGGAGTCTCCTTGGGCCCTGAAATGAATCTGGACTCCTGGCTTGGACAGTGGCCAAAAGATCAGTAAGCATGTGCAAGGCAACAGGGTCAGAATGCCAGCCCTGAGGAAGACAACTTTACTTCATCCCCCAAGATCCCGAGACGACCACCAGAGACAGCTGATAAGATTATTAGCACACAAAGCTGAGAGGGAGGGGAGCCAGGAAATTATCCACTGTGAACCCTGATGCATATGTAACATTCTAGGGGATAAAAGAAAACCGGAGTGAGCAGGGGGCAGGCATGACTTGGTAGAGATGTCCCCATGTGTACGGCCCAATAAAAGCATACCTACGTTAAAACTCATTGTCTGAATAAAAACACACCTACTTTAAAACTCATTCTGTCTGAATAAAAACACACTTACTTTAAAACTCATTCTGTCTGAATAAAAACACACCTACTTTAAAACTTGTTCTGTCTGAATAAAAGCATACCTACATTAAAACTCGTTCTGTCTTTGAGTTTTAGAGTCTCTCTCCGTGTCAAGATGTTCCCATCGTGCCATCCTCAACTGAGCAGGAATTATGGAGCTTAGGGGCATTTCCCTGCTAAATGCTGCATCCAGGAATCATCCCAACATGATGCTGCTGGGTGGGACAGAGGCAGAACCTCCCAACCCTCCTCCTCGTTTCAGACAGGCTTCAAGCACTGAAATGCCTTGGTTTGAGGGAAGATCTGGAGAGAACAGGCTCTAGGCAGCTGCTTTATTTCCATTTCTTTGTCTCACACCTGGTGGAAGACAAAATCCTTCCCCAGAGGGGTGACCAGCCAGCTATGCCACCCTCTGCCCACTCCTGCTGGGACATCTTCCCTTTCCCCAAAAAGGGAATGGTGATTCCCACACACATCCAGGGAGCAAGGTGTTGAGCCCACCCAAACCCCATATCCTTGCAGCTGATTTACTGCAGTAACTAAACTTTTTCTACCCAATTTTTCCACTGTCCTGAGGGCACAAGAGGATCAGAGGAATGTCATCTCTCAAATAACCCTGAGCCATGTGTTTGCACGGAGCAAATGGACTCAGGCAATCAAATTAAACCCTGCAAGCTTATCAACATTTCCTCCAAGTGCCTCAAGGGTAACGAGTTCAGCTGGAGCTGTTTAGGAGACAAACAGGACATGGGAGCTAAAGAACAAGATGGTCAGGGCTGGAGCACCAGCAGCCCTGGGCATTTCTGAGCACCAGACGAGGCTTATCAAGACCAGAAACATCCCACAGTCTTTCAGCTCTCTTTTCTTCCCCTCCATTCTGCCAGGGATCAAGGGGAAGGAAAACCCAATAGTATTGTTTAGAACCACAGAACAGAATCATCAAGGTTGGAAAAGACCTCCAAGATCTGGAAGTCCAACCTTTGATGATACACATACGTGTAGGTTTGAATTTCACCCTGAAGAAAGGGCCACGAAGCAGGAAACCACAGAAATCTCACAAAACCTCTTAATTTTTGTGCAAAACACTCATGGCACACAGCACCATCTGCTCCTGTTTCCAGCTGACCCCCATCCCTACTGGTGTCACATGAGCTCATTTTTGTTCTGCCACTTCCATTTTCCCAGGGAAAGGCCATGGAAAGGCACAAGATGGAAAGTCAGCAGAAGGGGGAAAGAGGGGGGTTAAGCCCTCACACCAACACACAGCCACCCCTGACCAGTCTTTCAGCTTCAATCAAAACCATCTCAGCAGATCTACACTGTGGTGGTACCAAAAGATTCAGCTCTGCTGACTACAAATAGCAAAGAGCTAATCCAAAGAAAGCGCTGTTTGCAATAAAAATAAAACCAAACCCAAAGGAAATTCCCCAAAAACATCCAACAAGCCCCTGCAGAGCAGCACATTCCCCACGTGTGGGGTGTCCCCCTGCTCTCCCTGGTGGGGCTGCACTTTCCACCCTCCTCATCCCACAGAGATGCTCCCAAGCATTCCAGCAGGGAAGCAAGGCTGCATCTCTGCTGCTCCCAGGTTGTAAATCACAGCTGGCTCCCTGACACTGATTACAAACAGGAGGCTTAGCAGGCAGCTGCCATTGCCATACCATTGCAGCCTCTCCCTCTAGTTGCTTGGAAAAATCAACACACAACTCCTGGAAGCAGGGGCTGAGCCAGCAGCTCCAGTGGGACAGTCTGGGGTTTTCTCCCAGGGAGGCTCTGAGGACATCTCAGGGGGTTACAGGCTTTCCACGCTGAGTCGGGGGGGTTGAACTGTCTGGAGAACCAGAGTGCTGAGCAAAAATGAAAAACCTCCTGGAAAATATGTTCATCAAGCTGTGAGGCACCAGAAGCCCCCGTGATGGGGATCCCAGGCTGCCTCTTCATTAACCCATCGATTTCCAGCACACAGCAGAGCCATGGTCGTCTCCTAGTGGAGCTCCACTGCTGTGGGGTGGAGCACGACCACCACCCTGACTTCCAAACCCTGCTTAGGCTGGGCTCCTTGAAAAACCCTAATCCCAGAATGGCTGAGGCTGGAGATGACCTCTGGAGATCAACGTCACCCTGTCCAAACACCCCTGCTCACACAGGGCCACAGCTGGCTGCTCATAACCATGAGCTGTTTTTTTCCTGTCTCCAAGGATGGAGATTCCACATCCCCCCTGAGAGATCTGTACTAGTGTTTGGCCACCCTCACAATGAAAACACATTTCCTGGTGTCCAGAGAGGATCTCCCATGTCTCAGTTTCTTCCCATGCTTTCCCACCAGGACACTTTCCTGGCTCATGTTCAAACTGGTGCCCACCAGAACCCCCAGGTCCCTTTCTTCTTGTCTTAGGCTGGAGATGCAAGATGTGCCTGGAGCTGTGCATTCTATCACCATCTGTCAGAGCTGGGGCAGTTCTCTTCTGTTCATTGGGCAGTTTTCTTTATCTCTTCCACCGCCAATCCTCCCTCCAGGAGATCTCTTCTGTTCATGGCCACTGAGTGTTCCTGCATGGCTGATAAAATTCCATCATCCCACTGGGAGATGCTCTGCCCAGGGGGAGGAGCCAAGCATTCCTCCTTGGATAGAATCTGACATTTGGAACACCACAGCAGCCTTTCCCACTGGATTTCAAGAGGAGCAGCTTTCTTCTCCACTGCATTCCCAGAGGAAGACCAGGCCCATCTACACCACCACTGGACCTTCAGAGGAAAACTCCACCCTCCTACAGGATCCCTGTTCCAGCAGAACCACAGACAGCCGGCACTGCAGGAAGGCTGAGCCACCATGGAATGGGACTGTGCCACCACCCTAAAACACAGGGGGTCAAACTCTGTCAGTGCTGTTCTGTATCACTGCATTTTTATTTATTTTTATTTTTCCTAATAAAGAACTGTTATTCCTATTCCCATATCTTTGCCTGAGAGCGCTTAATTTCAAAATTATAATAACTCAGGGGAAGGGGGTTTGCATTTTCTGTTTCAAGGGATGCTTCTGCCCTCCTTAGCAGACACCTGTCTTCTCAAACTGAGACACTGGTTTCTCCAGCATGTCCTGGTGCCTGAGGCTGCTCCTCCTCAGGTGCAGGACTTTGCCCTTCTCCCTGCTGAACTTCAGGAGGTTCCCAGCCTTGCTGAGGTCTCCGTGGACAGCAGCACAACGCTCCTGGTTTGGTGTCACCTGAGGTGCTGGGGTTACCCTCAGTCCCATCACCCACATCACCAATGGAGAGACAAGCAGGACAGTGGTGGCCCCTGGGTGTTTGGCCAGGGATCAACACCCCCCAGGCCTGGTTGCTCCCAACCCACCTCACCCAGCACACACAGGAGACAGTGCCAAAACCCTCACCAAAGTCTGGGCACACAACATCCACCACTCTCCAAGCCCTCCAGGTGTGACCAGGCTGGACAAACCCCTTGGGGATGCAGCAGGGACAAAGCCAGGGCAGCATCAGCAGCCAAGCAGAGTGACATCAGGGTGTTCCTCTGTGAGACAAACCCCAAAGAGCCAGATGGACAAGAGGGAGGAGCAGAGGGAGGTCACTTACCCCACGGTCTCGTCCCAGTCACACCAGAGGCGCTGGCCGATGCCCTCCATGCTGTCCTGGAAGTCCTTGAGGCAGTAGTGTCGGATCATCCAGCCGTAGTCAGCCTCCTGGCACGCCGTGGCCGCGATGAAGTGCTGGGCTGCAAGACAGGCCAGGGCTGTCAGGCTCTGCTGGGGTCACAGGGATGCCTCAGGTTTAGCTTTTATAGTTTTCACATTCTGTGCTGCTCTAGTGTGCAGTTCTGAGCTTCATATTAGGGCATGGTGAGCTCTCTGCACAGAGTAGGGAGACAAAACAATTCCATCTCTAGCTGGGGACCAAGGACAAATGATCCAAATCTCAGGCCCAAGAGCACAAACAACGTGGACTGAAGAGAGAAAAACAAGGATGGGACTTCATAACCTAAAGCTGTAATTGGACAATTAACTCCAATATGCAAATGAACCAGAACTTATAACAGTGACAGACCCCATGACCTGCTGTCCATTCTGTGACCATTTTGGTTCATCTTGGGTGCAGCCCTGGCCGGGCTCTTGTGCTGCCCAAGGTGGATCCATTGAGGCCTTTAAACAAATCCCTGCTTTATTCTTTAGCTCTGTCTGGCCTCTGTTCTAGGTCAGCCTTCACAGGGCATCACCAGCCCCACCACAGCCCCTGTCCTCACACAGAGGCGCCTGCCAAAGCCCTGCTGACAGCAGAGCAACCCCAGCTCTGCAAAACCTCCTCCTCCTCCTCCCAGGTTTGTTCCCCTCCTCGCAGCCCCGGGGCCCTGCACCTTCCCAAGTGCCTGGTGCTGGTAAATCAGTTATTCAAGACATGCTGGGTAATCATAAATTAGTAAGGATGTGGATTTATTCTCTGCGGATCACCTGAAGTGCCTTTGGACTTCAAATGTCCAGGTTTTGGGCTTAAAACACAAGTAAGGGTTTGGGGGAAGCTGGGGAATAAGAGAACCCTGCTGCTGATCCCTGAAAAATGGACCTGCACAGTGCCACACTTGGGAACAAACATCCACCTCTGATGGAGCACAGGGACAGACACAGGGAAATCCATCAAATCCACCCCTGGCTGCACAGCGCTGATTGAATTCCCTCCTGGGAATGTGTCCCTGCAAGTGCTTTAAAACAGGGACAAAAAAGGTGCTGCTTACAGCCTCATGCACAATCAGTGCAACGCTGCTGGTGAGCGGAAAGGGCGGTGATGCTACAAAGGGAAGGGAAAAAAAAACCTTTGGGGGAATGGTTTAGTGAGCCTGGCTATAAATAATAGCTTTGCCTTGGTGCCCAAGTGCCAGCTAGTGCCTTTGCAGCTCCTGGAGTGCACTGCAGGCAGGCACCACATACCAGATCTATTTTTTGCTACGTGTGAATAACTCTGCGCTTTATTTTTATCTGATTTTTTTAACACAACAGAATTGAGCCGCTTATTTAGTGGCCAAGGGACATCACCGTGGGACGCCATCCCTCTGCAGCCTCCAAAATCCTCGGAGCACTTGGGTAGCAGCATCTTATGGGAATGGGTGGGAAGTGAGGAGCTGGTGGGAATTTGGGTGGGAAGGGCCCCCAGAGCCTTGGCTGATGTTCCTGGATGGATGCAGGGCTCCTCCCATGCTGCCTCTGACAACAGCAGCCTGGCTTGAGATGAAACCATGGGAGTTACTGATCCAAGAGAAGTTAAAGAGCATTAAAGCCTCACTGCTGCAATAATAAAACTAAGTTTATCAAAATCTCAAGCTCTGCCTAGCTGATACCAGCCAGGAGCACAGCCTCAGGCAGGGATAAGCCCTGCTCCCAGATGGGAGGGCTTGACATGCTGAAGCAAAGCACCAAGAGAAGAAGAAGAAGAAAAAGCAGAAAAAGCAGAAGAAGAAGCAGAAAAAGCAGAAGAAAAAGCAGAAGAAGAAGCAGAAAAAGCAGCAGAAGAAGAAGCAGAAGAGGAAGTAGAAAAAGACAAGAAGACCAAGAAGAAGAAGACGAAGGAAATAATTTTACATGAGGCAAATGTAAAATTATTTACAGACTGCAAATCTCAGTCCAGGCAGGCTCAAGGATGATTGATGGCCAGGAGGCTTTCCTCCCCTTCCTATCCCTTCCCATCTGGAGCGGATGGATGCAGGGCTCCCATGCTGCCTCTGACAGCAGCAGCCTGGCTTGAGATGAAACCATGGGAGTTACTGATCCAAGAGAAGTTAAAGAGCATTAAAGCCTCACTGCTGCAATAATAAAACTAAGTTTATCAAAATCTCAAGCTCTGCCTAGCTGATACCAGCCAGGAGCACAGCCTCAGGCAGGGATAAGCCCTGCTCCCAGATGGGAGGGCTTGACATGCTGAAGCAAAGCACCAAGAGAAGAAGAAGAAGAAAAAGCAGAAAAAGCAGAAGAAGAAGCAGAAGAGGCAGAAGCAAAAGGAGAAGAAGAAGCAGAAAAAGCAGCAGAAGAAGAAGCAGAAGAGGAAGTAGAAAAAGACAAGAAGACCAAGAAGAAGAAGACGAAGGAAATAATTTTACATGAGGCAAATGTAAAATTATTTACAGACTGCAAATCTCAGTCCAGGCAGGCTCAAGGATGATTGATGGCCAGGAGGCTTTCCTCCCCTTCCTATCCCTTCCCATCTGGAGGAGCCAAGTGAAGGAGTGACACAGCTGAGCGAGCACCAGCGTCCCAGGGAGGCTCAGCAGCCACCCCAGCGGTCACCCCTCGGTGACATCCGTGCACTGGCCTGTGAAGGACACGTAAATATCACAGCCATCACTCGTGTGGACAAGCAGCTTGCAGAGAAAATGCTGCTGGGGAACGTGTCAGGTGCAGAGCAGAGCGCAGCAAAAGGACAGGGAGAGCAGGGGAGGAGAAGGGATTGCAAAGCAGAAAGATGAGCAGCCAAGGGGATTGAGGAGCACAGGAGGAAACAAAGCAGGAAGGAACGAGCGAGGCAAAGCACAGAGGAAATTCAGCAAAAACACCTTAACCTGGAGTGGAGAGAGAAGAAACACTGAATAAACCGTGGGGAGGAAGCAACCACAACCTGGCTGCAAGTAGCAGCAAGCCACACATAGCTGGCAGCCAGCATGAAAATCAGCCCTGCCATGAAAACAAAAAAAACCCAACTCAAACCAAGGGAAAACCAAACCCTGGGGAGCTTTAAGCACTTGCCAATGACAGCAGCTCCGAAGATGCAGCTCTGGAGGTCCTGCAGAGGCAGGGGAGCACCTTGCTATCCCCCTGGCAGCTCCTCAGTGCTCCCCTGCCTGTCCCAGCAGGACTTGCTCCTGAAGATGCCTCTCCTGCTGCATCTCCCACACCTACACGTGGGCTCTGCAAATCCCTCTGCCCCAGGGGCTAGGGAAACCAGAGCCATCAGCCAGTGACCTTTTCCAAGGCCACCAGATTTTGGACATGGTGAAGGGCTCTTTTGTTCCAGTTTTTGTTCCGTTGTGTCAGTGCTGTGAGGATGGAGCTGGGCACAGCAAGGCAGAAAAGCTCTTTTGTTTCCAGCGGACCAGGAGAACTGACTTTAGCTGTAATTGCACAAATTAAGGTCAAAGTGAGAAGCTCCTGCCGCGTTTCCACGTGGTGCCCACCTCACCCCACAGATCCCTGCTGCTTCACAGATTTTTCCTCAACTCCACTGCAGGCTTTGGCTCAAGGTTTGTAACAAAAGGGGGGGAAAAAAGCAGGGAGGGATTTTTGTATCTCCTGTCTCTCCTTCCAGAAGGTTTTCCTTCTGCCCTCAGCCCTGCTGATGGAGATGGTGTAAGTCAGCTGCAGTGAGCTGTAAATAACTCAGCTCCAGAGCAGTCACAGCTCTGCACGCAGCAGCATCCATCTGGGAAGGCTGCAAGAAGCTGCAAGGAAGAACCGAGCTCCAAAACTCAACTGGACCGAGGCTGAGCTGCCTCCACTCTCCTGGCCCCCATCACTGCCATTCCCTCAGGAACAATGGCTGCAGGAATGCAGTGCTCCTCTGGGAGCATCCCACTGCAGCCACACAGCACCTCCACAGCCCAGCTTGGTCTTTAGGGACACGGGGAATCACAGAACCCTGGAATGGTTTGGGTGGGAAAGGACCTTCAGGTTTATCCAGTGCCACCCCTGCCATGGGCAGGGACACCTTCCACTGTCCCAGGTTGTTCCAAGCCCTGTCCAGCCCTTGGACATTTCCAGGGACCCAGGGGCAGCCACAGCTTCCCTGGGCACCCTGTGCCAGGGCCTGCCCACCCTCACAGGAACAATTCCTTCCCATTATCCCACCTAACCCTGCCCTCTGGCAGTGGGAAGCCATTCCCTCTTCTCCTTTCACGAGAATTGTTGATGAACAACCTTCCCTGCTGAGAGAATCCCTGATTGCCTGTGAAAAGATGCAACATTAAGGACCCTTCGTTTGCCTCCTCACAGGAAACACCTGGAGAGCAGTGGTGAGGAGGTGATTGGAGGGATGGTTCTGCAGGCATCCCAGATCCTCGTGATTGCCCTGGGATTGATGTCCTGGAGAGTCCCAGCAAGCATCCACCAGGACTCAGCTTACTGCAAAAAGCCTGTCACACATTTATTTCAGCACAAAAACACTGTTGGTCCTGAAGTGTTACAAAAAATTCAGGAAGAGGGAAGACAACTGGACTTTCCTACACTGCACTTCTGAGAGCTGGAGCCTGGACCAAGAGCTCAGGGCCACCCCTCCCAAAACAGCTTTGGGGACACCACCGCTCTGTGAGCCCACACATCTGTCACAGTGATGGTTCACTAGCAAAAATCCTTTCCCTGCCAGAAAAATCCTGCACTTCCCATCAGTACCCCTCTGCACAAGCCCTTGCTCTCTGGCCTTTCCCCCCACAGTGTTCCAGGAATTCTGGGAATTCCTGGGTTTCTCCTGCTAGGACGTGCAACCAACCCCACAGGAAGGACTGAGATTTGGGAATTTCAGACTGCCAGAGCATGGGATTTCCCACTTCCCAGGCACTTCTGCAAGTACCCCTGGCGGTGCGGGCCGAATGATCAAACTGTCTGACAACACCTGCACAGAATTCACCAGAACATCCAGTTGGACTCTCTGGATTTTTTGGGGGGAAACTGTGCAGGGCTTCATAGCAAAGAGCAGGAAACAGGCAGATATTGATCCAAAGGCTGAAGCCCAAAGATGGCAGGT